GTGGGCAGACTGCGTCCGTGAGGCCACTGCGCCTACAGGAAACCCTGCGGCCTTCTAGCTGCTGCGCGACCGCGGTGCCGCCTGCCTGGCTGCCTGCCTGGCCGCCTGCCTGGCCGCACGGATGCTGCGCGGAAAATGTTGCAATCCTGCTGGATATCCCCGCCAGCCTGCCTGGCCTGCCTTCTGCCTGCTGCATGCATGCGCCAGCGAGGAGGGCGAGGAGGATCGCCGAGGACCACGGGACGCCGGAACCAGGGAGGCGCTCCTCAAAAGGAACCGGAAAAACGCGCCATCGCACGACGGGCGCGTTAAAAGAACCAATACATCTCGTGCGACGACGGCGACCTTTTTGCGACTCCCGGGTTCACACTTCACTTCACTTCCAGGGGCAGTGCATTTTCCCGATGCCGTGATGTAACCCTTGTTACCGGCGAGCGAGCGAGCCGAGCCATTCCCACAAAGCGGCCGTCTCTCTCGCCCGATCTCGTGGCTGCTGCATTTAAACTTGCGGTAATGAGCCGACAAAGAGAGGGACAGAGAGAGAGAGAAGTCCCTACAAATAAGACGGCCGGCAATGCGAGGAATTGGAAAAGGAACAGCAAGCCCTCCGTAACGCCGTCTGCCTGCCGGAGTCTGCCTGCCAGGCCCGCCAACCCGCCATTCCGTTCCATTCAAACGAACGCTGAAAAGGTGCAAGCGTTCCCTCCAAAACCACTCGGCCTTGCGCGTGTTCCTTTTTTTTCACCTCATCTCTCTCTCCCTCTCTCTCTCTCTCTCTCTCTCTCTCTCTCAGCAGTGAGTCCATCAGGAGACACGGGGGTGGAAAGGGTGCGAGCAAGGGAGCAGACTACAAGAAGCCAGCGGGCTGCGAGGGGGCTGGGCGTCCGGGCCCGGGCGAGCCTCGCCGCCTCGCTGCACGCTACAAAGTACAAAGCAACCCCCAGGAACGCTGCCGCGATGCTGCGCTGCTGTCCACCAGTTGACTCCCACGGTCCGGCCCGCGGCAGGGGCCCAGAGTCCGCCCCAGACTGATTCCGAGAGTCGCTTTCGTCGCTCCGTCTCTCTCTCGCACCTACATGGGATGACCCGCAGCCCACCTCTACCTCCACCGTGCCACCGCAAAGCAACCGCCAAAGTAGAACACCACAACGCGCCCGCTGCTGGACTTACCCCTTATACCCAAGCCACACACACACAAGCACACAATCGACCCCCCCCCCCACACACACACACATGCACGCAGCGGGGGGTGCCCGCGCTTGACTTTCCACACACGCAGAAAGGGGAATGTTTTTGTCGTGATGGCGAAGACGTGAGCTGGGACACGGAGGGGTGTCGGCTTGAAATGACTGGCTCGGTATCGCCACCGAATCGAGAGCTCGAACCGCGCGCGGCGAGCGGAGGAAGGGAGGGAGAGGGAGAAGGGGGGGGGGGCGCAAGGGGAGGGGGTGGCGAAACAAAACGCGCCCCGGAATATGACGGGCCGTGATTGGGGAATCGAGTTCCCCTACACAATGCGCGCACACACACGCACACAGACACAGGGGCAGGGCTCACAGAGGCACCCCGATGGGGCAGCCAGAGAAAGGTAAACGGGTGGTCAGCCGCGGCCCGTGAACCTTGTGCGCGCTTGGCCCCGGAAATAATAAAAAAAGAGGGAGGAAGTTGGAAAAAGAGGTAAAAGGGCCCGTTACACACACAGACTCCCCCTCCCCCCTTACACACACACAATCAAACAGAAGTCAGTCGTTTGGAGGCAAACTTGCTGGCGGCCTGTTCCAGAGTCAGAGTTGCCGTTCTTGCATGGAGTGGGGCAGGCCATATTTTCCCGACCAAATATAGACAGAAAAATTAGGCAAGCGTGTCACGCTTCGTAACACCACCCCCACCGACACGCCCTGCGAAAAAAAAAAACACAAAAAAACCACCTCCGCTAGCGGTTTGCTGTTTGCGGTGGGGGCTGGGGCAAAGAACGCGTCTCCAATAACCCAGCAAGCCGGCACCTGGGGCCGCCCGGCCGGCCCGGCCCGGGTTCGAATCTCGCCCGCCCGCACCCCTTCATTTTGATTCGGCCGCATTCCTCAGAGGACACCCGCTGCGGCGCGCTGCGGGTCAGCCCCGCCAGCCCGCCAGCGTCCTCGCCCCTCCTCCCCCAGGTCCTCTTATCAGTCAATGAAAGCCAGGATGTGGGCAGACGAGAGGAGAGCGGCGCCGCCGCGAGATGGAGCGAGATGGCAGGAAGCAAGACCAGGCAGGTGGAATTCCGCCATTCCCCACTTTGGGACAGCCCGACCCGCGGCCCGGCCGGGGAAAGCGGCGGCCGCTCTTCGATTTGCAGTCATGTCTCCGCGGACGGGACGAGCGCGGCACGCGGCACGCCACTGTGCGGTAATGCGCGCGCACTGCAACCCTTCGGCCGGCCCGGCCCGCTCGTCCCGACGGAACTTCTGCTCTCATTTTCATTTTGTGCACGCGAGCCGGCCGGGCCGCCGGCGGCCACTTCGCGCTCGCTCGCTCCGCAGCTAGGCAGGGCGAGGGCCTCGCCGGCCGGGCCTCGCCACGCTGGGCTGCACCGCCTTGTGTTCCACGCGGAGAATTATGCGAAAACGAAAGTGGGCTCGAAGCATAGCCGAATTGAATACCTCCCCCCTCCCTTTTCTCTCTCTCCTCTCCTCGTCGTCGTGAAATTAAAATATCAGCTCCTGCATGCACGGCCGGAGTCTGGCCCTGCGCGGTGGGCGGCACTTTGCACGCGGAATATGCAGCGTCCGCACGGCCGCGGCGGCCCGAACATGGAGCGCTACATTTCACTAACAGTCACGTGGGCGGACTGGAGGGGGGCGGGGGGACATGGTCCGTAATTGAGGCATAAAGACGCTCCGCCGGGCCAAAGTCATTAGGCACGCTGCCATTCGCACACACACACGCACACACACGCGCACACACGCACGACATTCGTACCGCTTTCCCCCTTTTCCATAGGGTTCTGGCCGTTCTGGCGCTCACGGCGCAATGAGCGGCGCGGTGGTGTGCGTGTGTGTGTGCGTGTGTGCGTGTGCGTGTGGCGGGCCGGAGTCTGAATGCGGCCGAGAGCGGCGAAGACGCGGCAGCGCCGGGCAGCCGCCGGGGCAGCGCGCATCATGTGGAGAACGTGGAGAACCCTTCCCGCCTCGAGGGCTAGCGCGGCCGTCGCTCTGTCTCTCTCGCACCTACACAGGACGTCCCATGAGTGCGAGAGAGATAGAACGACGACCGCCCTGCTGGGGCCGCAGCAAGGGCCGAAGGGCTCGCCGTCAAACGCCGCCAACAATGCGGAGGCAGCGCAGGGCAGTACTGTAAGCTAACGTCTGTCAGTTCGGGGCTGGGCCGCTTCGGCCGTTCGGACGCGGCGCCGACCCGCCGACACTGCTGCTGGAGGCTAGCAGGCTCATTCCGACCAGTTCGCGCCATCTCCCTCTCCCTCTGCCGTCTGATTCCGAGCACTGCTTTCGTCGCTCTGTCTCTCTCGCACTCATGGGGCGGTCCGTTGGGGTGCGAGAGAGGCAGAGCGACGAAGCAGTGTTCGGAATCAGACGGCAGACACCGCTACAAGCCGCCTCCATGCGCCGTGCGAGAGAGACAGAGCGACGAGAGCACTGTTCGGCAACAGCCAGAAGTGGACAGCATGCAGCGGGCAGCGGCCGTGCTGGGGTTCGATCCTCGTTGGCGACGACGTCGCCGTGCTACGTCGACCGGCCCGTGGGACGGGATGGGCTTAGCGGTTTCCGGGCCACTGCATGCACGCGGACCGCGCGGCGCGGTCAAAGTGACGCCGCTTTCAGCCCCACCCCGTGTTTGTTGTTGTCCTTGTTGTTTGTCACCAGGGGCTTTGCTGCTGCCACCAGTGGTCCGGCAAGGCTTAACGAGATGTCGCCACGGCCGGCCACGCACAGTGGGCCAGAAGACCAGTGGAGGCGGCCAAAACTCTAGACGCGTTTTGAGCTCCAGAGTCGCTAAATGGAACTCGAACCGAGCGTGTGACCCCGCCAATGGATTCCTTGTTCGGAGAGCAATCCATCAGTGGGGTCACACGTTCGGTTCGAGTTCCATTTAGCGACTCTGGAGCTCAAGGCGCGCCTATAGTTTTGGCCGCGTCCACGGGTCTCCTGGCCCACTGTGCCACGGCCCGGTCGGTCGGCTTGGAGGCTTGGCGTCCGGGGCGTGCGCGAATCGCGCGTCGTGTGAGCCTCCTGCCTGCGTCACTAATGTACCCGCAACGCGCAACGCGCAACGCCCGCAACACGGCGGCCAAGGCAGCGCCGAGGCGTGGCAGCGCCGCAGCAACGCAGCAACGCCCCGCCGTGCCGCACCGCGGTGTTGTGGTCTCTTGCATCAGCGGCGAGGCGATTGCCGGGTCGCACGGCGAACCTCGAACCACTCGAACCTCCCCGCGGACCGGGCGGCGGACATGGGTACTCGGATGACAGGGCGACGGCTATCCAGGCCCGGCTCCACAGCCCCCAGCGGGCTGACTCCGAGCGAGGCGTCCGTCGGTCTGTCTCTCTCGCACCCACCCTGTGCGCCCCGTGAGTGCGAGAAAGAGAGACACCCCCTCTCGGACCATAATCGCGCTCGAGCCGCAAAAGGCCCACAGGTGCGTGGTTCATTTTTACGCGACCCCGCGGCGCAGCTCGGCGCTCGCAGCATGAGCCTTTACACTGTAGCCTGGCCGGCCCGGCTGCCCAGCACACAGCACTGCGCAGCACGCGCCGGGATGATTAGCAATTTGCTTTCAAATTTTTGACGAGGCGACTTGGCGGTCGGGGCGCCGCGGGGCGGCCCGGTCCTTTGTGCCATTGCGTCTGACAATGTCGCCGCCCCGCCCCGCCCGCCTTGAAATTTAAATCAAGAGCACACAGCAGCCACCCCGGCCGGGCCGGGCCGGGCCCACTCCCGCCCCGACCGCCGACCAGCCCCTACAGTGTGCCGGCCGCACGGCGACACGGCGCCCGGCCACTCACCTTGTTGGCAGGAGGTTAATCCAATACACAGCGACAGCAGCGACAGCACCAGGCACGTCGGCGGCCTCATCTCGCCGCGGCACTTCAACACTGGGCACACACACTGCACTGCACTAGGAGGACCACAGCGGGGGAGGACGGCGTGCCCGCAGCCAGGGCGGCGATTTCATGCTGGTGCCGCCTCCAGCGCCTGCAGCACTTCGAGCACCGACAGGCTGCCGACAGGCCGACGGGTAATCCACAGGTAATGCCGGTCACGTTAATCCACTGGACGGCGGTGTCGCGGTAACGCTAACAGGTGTCGCTGGCGGGCCTGGCGGGCCTGGCGGCGCGGGCCGGCCGCGGTTCGCGTCAAGCACGGCGTTGGCGGCGGCGTCTGTGCGGGCGGCGGGGCGGCGAGGCGACGCGCGGCACCGGTCTGGCCTCTCGGAGCGCTCGCGCGGTACTGAAGGGAAGGCAGGAGGGAAGGCGAGGCGAAGCGAGAGGCGGGAGGGAGGCAGGGCGCTACGCGGCGCGCTACGCCCAGGCATGCTTGGGCCAGCCAGCGGGCGGCGCGGGGCGGCGCGGGGCGGCGGGCTGCAGCCGGACCGCGTGCGAGTGGGGGAGGGAAGACCGCGCGGTCGGCCGCCACACCAGCCAGACTCGCTCCGTCCCCGTCCCGCACGTTGCGCAAGCGATCGGAATGACAGAGACAGAGACGGCGGGGTGTAAAACGCCTCGCCCGACTCGCCGACCTGGCCCGGCACGGCCGGCACGCACTTCGCACTCATCCCTTCACCGCTGTCGCCGCCAGAGAGAAGTTCCTGCTCGCATCCAGTTGGGGCGCGCATACGTTACGGTGGAGTGGTGCACCACGAGGAGGAGGAAACTCAAAATCGGGACTCGGTTGCGCAAGGCCGGCCTCCTGTGGGAATGTGGCTCCAGATCGAGAAGTGGAGAAGTGGCTCAAAACTCGGAGTGCCCTCCGCTTCCGAGAAGGAGGTGAGCAGCAGCAGATGGTGCACGAGTCTCGCGTGTTGGAGCGACACCCTGACAGCAGTGGGGCACGCCCGGCACGCCGCGACAACACCAAGCAGCGCTCATTCACGATTTCACAGGGACGATTTTAGCGGCCTTGCTCGGCACTAACGTCTCCCTTCCAGCGACCCAATCAGTCTTCGAGCGCCGAAAACAAGCAACTGCAGCAGACTGAATCCGAGAGTCGTTTTCATCGCTCTGTCTCTCTCGCACTCATAGGCGCTCGCATAGATGCGAGAGAGACAGAGCGGCGAAAACGACTCTCGGAATCAGTGTAGACGTTCTGCACAGCAGCGTCGAGCAAGAAAGCGGAGTCACACGGAAATGAGTCGAAAACGCAAAGCGCCAAACTCCATAACACGGTCACAGGCGTCTCTACGCCAGCCACTCCTCGCGGACGAAAACTCTGTTCCTCCAGGAAGTTTTTAAAACCGCGTTGCCGCGATGATTCCGTAACCCACGAGTGCACACCGCCTGCACCGCGCACACCGAGGCGCACACGGATAACGAGGGAGAGGCCGCATAACCGATCCGCTGAGCCGCAGTCAAACCCAAGCCGACGTCTCGAAGGCATGCAGCACGATGTGTTGCTCGCTGCACTTAACGACTCGTCTGCGGCACACTGGGAAGGGGGCAGCTGGGGCAGCGAGCGAGAGGTGCCGGCCATGCAGGCCGAGCCCCGGCACTCTGTGGCCGCTAGTGGCGCACTGGTGGCGGCGCCGTCGCGAGCCTCCGAACCCTCTTCCGGTCACGTGATTTGAACTTCGCGCCGTCGCTGCGAGCACATCTCGCATGCACCGTGCGTAGCGCGCAGCAAGCATTGCCCGGCGCCGAGGGGGCTGTGGGTCACGGAAGGGACTGGAACGGACCGACGGACCGCTAGCAGTGGCGGCACCACATCGCCCCACTGCCACGCCAGTGCACTCCATTGCACTGCATAGAGGAAAACACGCTCACAATCACTGCGCACAAGTTGGTTCAATTTGAACGTTGCCTCTTAAGGGCTTAGATTCTATTTAACTGATTAAAAAGTACACAGCTGTGCAATTTAGTGTTCAATTCTTGGACTGGAACCTCGATAGGAAGGGCTTCTTCGGGATGAACTTGGCTTTGGATGTAGAGGACGCCGCACCGTGCGCTGTGGGCTGTGAGGCCGGCCAAGACATCCCCATGTCCTCCTGGAACTCCACCAGCAGGCTATCGGGCTGGCAAGGCTGGGCAGCAGGCTGACTTCTCGTTTGAAATGGCGAGTCTCCAGCCAAGCCGGGGGCGGCTGCTCTTTCAGCAATGACTCTTGTCGGAAAAGCTTTCCCTTGTGAAACTCCAGGCTGGACTCCAGTGGGGCGAAGCACGCCCTGAGTGACTCCAGCCTGGACTCCAGCGGGGCGAAGCACGCCCTGTGCTCCAGCCTGGACTCCAGCGGGGCGAAGCACGCCCTGGGCTCCATCCTGGACTCCAGTGGGGCGAAGCACGCCCTGAATGACTCCAGCCTGGACTCCAGTGGGGTGAAGCACGCCCTGAGTGACTCCAGCCTGGACTCCAGCGGGGCGAAGCACGCCCTGGGCTCCAGCCTGGACTCCAGTAGGGCGAAGCACGCCCTGGGCTCCAGCCTGGACTCCAGCGGGGCGAAGCACACCCTGGGCTCCAGCCTGGACTCCAGTAGGGCGAAGCACGCCCTGAGTGGCTCCAGTGGGGCGAAGCACGCCCTGAGTGACTCCAGCCTGGACGCCAGTGGGACGAATCGCACCCTGAGTGGCTCCAGCCTGGACTCCAGTGGGGCGAAGCACGCCTTGAGTGACTCCAGCCTGGACTCCAGTGGGGCGAAGCACGCCTTGAGTGACTCCAGCCTGGACTCCAGCGGGGCGAAGCACGCCTTGAGTGACTCCAGCCTGGACTCCAGCGGGGCGAAGCACGCCTTGAGTGACTCCAGCCTGGACTCCAGTGGGGCGAAGCACGCCTTGAGTGACTCCAGCCTGGACTCCAGCGGGGCGAAGCACGCCTTGAGTGACTCCAGCCTGGACTCCAGCGGGGCGAAGCACGCCCTGAGTGGCTCCAGCCTGGAGTCCAGTGGGGCGGAAAACGTGCTGCGGAGTTGCAGGCAGGGTGACGGTGGGACGAACGACGCCCAGAAGCCACTCAGTCTGGACTCCGGGGGGCCGAGGCCTGCTCAGAAATACTCCCCTCTGTATTCCAGGAGGACGATGCTGAGCTGCACCAGCCTGAGCCACGGCGGGCTGCAGAGCGACGTACGGCGTCAAAGCCTGGACTCCTGTGGGATGAAGTGCGCCCGGGAATACTCCAGTCTGGGCTCCAGCGGGTCGACGGAGGGTCTGAGACGGTTCCGCCTGCACTGCAACTGCTTCGATGTCGTCTTCATCCCATGGTGCTTCGGTGCGAGTGGTGTCCGGAATCCATTCACCGGGATCTTCTGAAGTGAAAACTAAATAAGAAAGGAACAGAGGGACAGCTCATCAGTCCAATTAAGTAAGTCGCGTCTTTTATTGTGATTAAAATTACGCATTAATAATGGAATTTTACTGACCGAGTACATCTTCTGAAATCTGCTCTGCTTCTGTTAGTTCCTTCTCCAGATTGGCTATCTTCTTCGCAACCTCATCAAGTGCCGCGTCCTCATAACTGCGACTCTCTCGAATACTGTAAATGGAATGGAAAACAATGTGGTAAACCTTACTTCCACAATGCACAAACATTCAGGAAAGCAGACTGACCCGGCGAAGGTTTTGCCCTCAACAGGCTCCTTCGAAAGACGAACTTGATCGTCATGGAGCTCAACGACCTTCTGCAACGCTTCCACTTCCTCCCTTGCGAGCTCCGCCTCACCTATACACGTAAAGTGAAGTTTCATTCATTCATTCGTTCGTTCCGTTGTCCATTCATTCATGTTGACTGACACCGTCTAGGCCTCTTACGTTGCAAACCCGCGTCGTCGCTGATGGTGGGGACGTCAGCCTCGGTCAACGTCTGCTGCTCCTTGCGGCCGAAACGCCGCGGCCGCGGCGGGGCCGAGACCTTGGCCGAGACAACCTGCAGCCCATCCACAACGGCTGCCGCCACCTCTCGATACGACAGCCGAGCTCGGTGAACCTCGGCTGCTAAAGAATCCTAGAGAAAGCAATCGTCCAATTCAAGTTGAATGGCACTGCTTGAGACTGGGTGCATAAAAAAACACTCTTAATTTTGCATTACCAGTTTCCGTTGCCTGTCAGTAACGGGCACTTGCTGCTCCTTGCCGACCGCAGCCCACGCATCCACCTCCAACTTCATGAGCTCCACTTCAATTTCCTGGCGTCGTCGAATCAACAAGCTCTCGAAACTGTCCATTGCTTGGTACGAGTTTACCTTCACACACGCCACAAACAATGAGGTTCGGTAGTCAGATACGTTTCGTGAGATGCAACCCACACTCACGGCGCACCGCGCGACACTTCAAACCGGGCGGGAAAAAACATTGCCCCGTTACCCCACGAAATTTCCCACCATGGCCAGTTATTTATTCTGCAATTATATTGAATTCGCTGTCTAAAATGGATCTTCATGGGAAGAAGAAACATTACGGCATTCGTTTGTACTACAGGTATTTGTTGACACTGAGTTTTCTCCCTTTAAACTGAGTTTCGGAAGCACCGATTCCCGCAGGTAACTTTCATGATGTGTGGCTAACCTGAAAAGGGATCTTCCTTTTTCGAGTTTCTTTCGAAAATTTGCAAAGATTATGAGCTGGTCTTGCATTCAATTAAAATCTGCAGCTCCGAATGGTATCTAGTGACGCGCGAAAGTATCCTACTCGCCTCTAGTAGGGAATAAAATTCGAAAAATTTGAATTTGATGCGTTCACTGCCTTAGTCTTCGGAGCAGAACGGTTCCGTGGCTTGAGAGGCATGTCGGCCATATTGCTGTTGGTGTCTGATGTTGGCCAAGCGATCCACTACGGGCTCGTAGGAATTAGACGAATTGTGATTGTGTCATTACTTTAGCAGGGAGGGTAGGAAAGGGAAGGGTTGGCCTGGGGTTTATGTAGGATAATGAGTGGTGCGCGGTGCTCGCCGTCTGGAGAGACCGACTGCAAACCAAACATGGGTGATGTTCTCGGCAAAGAGCACGAAGAGCCCGAAGATAGAGAGGACCAACTTTCTGATCCTTTCAGCGAAAATATGGAACGGGAAGAGGCGGAAGGGGCTGAAGCAGAGGATGAAACTTCTTCGAGTGATACTAAAGATTCTCCCGGGCCCAAATTAGGTCCCGGAGAGGAGGAAGAGGTTCGTCTGCTTTGTTTTCTGACTCCATCCTCCCCTGCTCCAGGGCTACACTCTCTGCATTTGTTTGTTTTTATTTGTAAATCTGACAGTACATGTCGGAATGAGTCCAATTTTGCCTTTAGGGTTAGCTCTCTTCCTGTACCTTCGTCCTGGAGAATGCTAAAATCATTGTTCTTTCTGCAAACGAACTGTCAGTGATGGTGTTTATTTTTGTGGACCTCAGTATGCATATTTAATTTGTTCATCTGTAGATTAATTTTATTACAATTCCATTAAGTTTTTAAATTTTTAACCATCCACGTCCCTTTCTCTTTAACCACTATCAACTGTATAAGCTTTATGTATTTCTTCTTAGACTAAAATTTGATACATATCTGTACATGAATTTGTCTCTGATCTATTGTTTTTGCTCATGTATTAAACTCTTTGTTTCAGATCCAATTGGTGAATGAAGTCAGTGACATATTGACCATTGGTGAAGGAGTGGATCATAAGCAACTGAATCAAGCCAAAGAAAAAACACAGGTTGATAGTGCAGAGGAGAATCCTAACAGTATCAGCAGAACACCTTCCGAATTACCAGAAGTAGAAACCGCTCTCATTACCAAGACACTTTTAGATTCTAATGCATATACATGCCCTGTGCCTTCATCCAATAGTGAAGGAAGTAACAGTGTGGAAGAGTCAGATGTAGACCTTGAAATTGTGGTTGATGGGTACTATGAAGATGGTTATGAGGACGATGATGAAGAGGATGATGAGGATGACGACGAAGATGATGATGAAGAAGGGGGTGTGGAAGCTGATGATGAAGATGATTTCGCTGAAAGTGAAGTTGTGGATGAAACTCCTGAATTGGCAGAAACCATTGGTGGAGAAGATGTGAACAAGCTACCCTCTACGTACCCGTCTTCTGATAGCTCTGATGATACTAGACAGACTATCAGAAAGAAAACCGCACCTAATGGAAGATTATGTGATAGTATGAGGCGTAGAAAATTAAATAAAGTTAAGGAATGTATGCAACCAAGGTCAAACATTCCTCATCAGTTAGATCAAACAGCACTGCTCTCTGAGGCCATGACTAACTTAAAATTGGACAGTGGAAGACTTCAAAACTTCTGTGATGCCAACACAGTTAATAGCAACTCTGAGAGAATTGCAGAAAGTAAAATGTACCTTAATGACACTGAAAAAGTGCAAATGTCAGAAGACCATGATGATGCAAGAGTGGAAGCTGAATCTGAGAGCCCTCAGAGCCCGCCAAATTTGAAACGAATTGTTAAAAGTGATGGGGCAGTATCCACTGAGGAGGAGAATTCATCTCTTAATGAGGAAGACATTAAGGAATTGATGCGACAAGAAGCCTTACAACGTAGAAGAGAAACATGCACATGTGAAGCATGTGAATCAAAAAGGTGTGTGTTTTGGTACTTAAATTTTAGCTGTCGTTTTCCTTTTGTTTTTTAAATCTGTGCTCACATAGTTGGTACCAATTTTAACCTTTTAGGCTACAACTCAATGAGCAGCGTAAACTCCAGGGAGCATGGATGGAGCTGCGCCACTTTGTTCGAGAAGTGTATCATATTATTTTGGAAACACCTCGGGATGATGTGATGCCAATAGTTGATTCCTCCCAAGATGAACATATGAAAGCTATTGCAAAAAGGTATCTACTTGACATGGCCCTTGATATTTATCTTTGCCCTGTACAGTTTTCTCTATCCTCTTTCTTTAATTTTTCCAGGCTAACCAAATCCGATCCACATCAACTCTATCATAGGCTGCAATCACAAGTTCATGAGGTAGCCAGTGCTGTCAAAACACGGCTTAAAGAAATCTCAGAAGACCACCATCAAGACACCCTAGTTGCTGCTCAGTTCTTTGATGGTAAAATAAAACAAAATTTCTTTGTCAGAAAAAATGATTAAGTTTTTGCTTAATTTTATTTTTAAAAAATGTTTTGTAGGTCTTTTCTATTGCTATGACAAAGTATCATCTGCTGCCAAGAGGATAGCTCCTATACTAGAAGATTTAGAAGCAAGGCATTTATCTCGGTTCAATCTGACATGGGAACTACTTAACAAAGCTGTGTATTACCAAGTTGTGTACAACGATACTGTCATTGCCAACAAATTGCCTGAAATGATCGGTATGGTTAGTGACAAGGTATGTGTCAACTACCACAACTCTCTGCAATTTTAAAAGTATATTAGGTCTACTAAAGTTACTAATATTTGACATATTTTTAGAGTCCAGAAGTGCAGGACATGATGCGGTTCTACATGGCTTTTGATGATGAAATGAGTATTATACAGGCAATGTGGCGAGAGTCATATGAACTCTTACAAAAATACAAGTAGGTTGCTGAAATTAATTTTTATTATTTTACAGTACTTTTCTTCCCCTTTGTTTACATTATCCCCTTTCTTTAGCAACCAGCAGGCCAAAATCAGGGCAAAGCAGCAAATGTTGCTGCGAGATTGGGAAATGTTTAAAGCTCAGCGTAAACGAGTGCAACGTTCACTTGATGAAGGGTAAGTTCAAATTTCTTAAATTATGAATAATTTAGAATCTGGTCATATTTTTCATCTGAAATGTCTAATTTTTCTCTCTTGTCCAGAATTGAACTAGATCGCAATAGCCTAGCAGCTGAAAATGGATCAGAAGAAGATGGAGCGGAGGTCTTAGTTTGTCCTTCATGTAATCGTGTTCAATCTTGTCCTTGTGATGAGTGCTGTCTATCTCACCTATTTGTTTGCCGTGCGCACAATCCTGGTATTCCTGCTGATTATAGGTAAGTTTTTCGGTTCTACCTGGTGTGACTCACTCGAGTTACATGTTGTGTGTGTGTTTTATATATCAGTACCGTTTACAGCCCTACTCTTGATGGCCCGAGGATGGCTGGAGATGGAGCTGGAGATGGACCAACCCTAGAACATATCCAGAGAAGTGCTGCAGATCAGAAATGTTCCTGCCATATTTGCAGTGCTCCTCAAAATGGCTCAGAGGTGAAACAGACTTGCAATTTAATGACATGTCTCTAATCTATCTATTTTTTTCACTGCTCTCAATTTTGCTTTGCATTACTGCCACAGGTTGGTGGTGCACCTTGCGCTGCGGATGCTTGTGTAACCATGAAGAACGTCCTCTCAATCCTAACCATGATCCTGTGCACCACTTTACCAACACAATAGCAGGCAGTAAGTTTTTGTTGTACCTTCCTCTTGATGCTCTTGATGAAGCATTCAAGAGTTATTGGCAACTTATGGATTTAAATGTGATTTTAAAAAAAATATAATCATTGATTTTTTTAAATTTTTTCTTTTGTGTGTTTTTTGAATAGATGGTGATGGGATTACTGGCCATTCTCATTCGCACCATGTCAAATCATCGCTCAAGTCTCTAGGGACCAAACATGCAAAACACTGCCTAAACCTTGGATGTCCAAACTTGGGAAAAGAGCAAGCCAATGTACAACTAGGAGAGACAAAATGCACAATTCAGATTAAGAGGTCTAATAACAGTCATCAACGGGTGAATGGAGTCAAGAGAAATGATTTGGGGCCTGTAGACAGTGCAGCAGTCGCTGATGCCAAAGTCCCTCAAGTGTCGTTTAATGTGCATGCGAAAGAAGGACAGCCCCAACCCCAGCCCCGTGCCCACTTTACTGCGGGCCCAGGCGTCAATATACCAGACACTGACATGTACCCAGGTCCCCCAGCTGACTTTGCCTTGCCCCCTTCAGAATTTGCCGGAAAGGTAATATAATTTTAAGCCAATTTTAAAATTTAGTTATTAATATTAGTAACTTTGGATTTTTATCAAGCAAAGAAAGTTACTTTCTACCTTGGACTTAGAACATTAGTACTCTTTGAACAGGATTTGCAGTGCTTCCTACTTGTATCTTTGATGTTATTTTACTTTTTAGGTCACATCTACAAATACAAATCAAGAACCAATATTTTTACTGACCAAGGCTGGAGCATCACCACCTGCTAACATTCCTTCCCTTCAAGGAATGTCTACTCCCACCGAAGAACCGTCTGTGAAGAGAATCTGTAAGTACTTTACCTTAATTTTCACTTCTGTGTCTTGTTGTTTTTGAATCCTTATTTTCGTCTCATTCTTATCATCTTGTATTTACAGCATCATCTGTCCCATCCTCACCTCCCACTACACCTCCATCTGGCAAAAATCCTCTTACTCGAGCAACCATTCAAGGTGAGTTTTGACAAAGATACCATTTAACAACTGAGGTACTGTTGTCTTGGTAAGGTGGCCTGACCTATTGGTCTGTCTTAGGAATGCTGGAAGAAGCTCTGGAGCGGAAGAAGGCTGAAATAGCTCGCGCTGCCCAAGAGTCTTCGGCAGCAGCCACCCCCGCGTCGCCGACACCGTCACCGTCGCCGTCGCTCACGCCTTCCGTGTCATCGTCGGAGTCGCCGGTCCACGCTCCAACACCGCCCGCGGCCTTGAGCACGGCCCCGGTCCGGCCCCCGGCACCGATCCCGACCTCGTCCCCGGCCCGGCCCTGGCTCCAGCCTTGGCCTCGGCTCCGGTGCCAGCCGCAGTCCAGGCCGCGGCCACAAGCACGGTCCCGGCCGCGGTCCCCGCCACGGCCCCAGCGCCGACGGCTGCTGAAACGGCCCCAGCCACGGCCTCGAACCCCAAGCCCAAACTGGGCCACACGTGCACCTCGGCCAAGCACAAGCAGCACACGCACTCGCCCAGCCACAGAGACCCCAAGAACTGCGACTGCTGCTTCTGCGAGATGTTTGGCCACGGGGCGGTGAGTTCGCTTGCTCATTAATTCCGCGGAGTTTGGCGCTTCGCTGTGCCTTGTTGAGACCTCGACTAATCTGTGATTTTGATTGGCATGACCCAGCCCCCCGCCGCGCCGACCAGCCACCGATTCCACGAGAACCGGCAGCGCCTCCGCTCCAAGCTCAACAAGAGCCGCGCCAGCAAGCAGCAGGCCGCGGTGGCGGCCAAGAACGCGCAGGCCAGGCAGGCGCAGGCGGGCCAGGCAGCTGCTGCGGGCAAGACGGCGCCTGCTGCTGCTGCAGCTGCACCTGTCCAGACTACGGCAGCTGCAGTGGCGATGCGGCCACAGGTCCCGATCCCAGCAGCAGCCGCGGGTGGCGCGCGGACGGTCACCGGGTCCGTGGCCCTCCCGGCCGTGGCGGCCACCAAGGCGGCCACCAAGGCCCCAGCCGGCGCCGTCAAGGTGGTGACCGGCCCTCCCCGGCCCACCACGGTTGGCGCACCTGCAGCTGCAGTCGCACCCGGCAGCAAGGCGGGCGCCACCGTGGTCGTCAGGGCGGCCGCCCCCATGCCCGCCGGAGTGGCTGCAACTGCTGGGGCCGCCAAGATGGGCGCGACGGGGCCGGTGGTGGCGACGCGCGTGGCTGGCGCGGGCGTCAAGGTGGTTCCTCAAGGTGCACCCCAAGCAGTGCCCCACGCTGCCCAACCGCTGACCGGGGCCGCCGCCGCCCGGGCGCTTGCGTACAGTATGGCGGCGGGGTCGTCCCAGACGGCATGTAAGTCGACTTGCTCAGAGCCCGAGTCCTGCCCGCCGTACCTGGTGGGCCTGCACCGTCCTGTCCCCGTCAAGCCCGACCTGAAGCACACGGGCCCCGAGGCCGAGGCCGCCGAGGCGGAAGGTGCGAGGGTCGCCAGGGCAGTGGCAGTGGCCGTGGCCATGAGAGGTGCTCAATCCAATTTTGCCTCGGCGTTGAATGCTCCCGTTAATATTGCTACATTTGCACCACCTGCAGCGGGCTCAAGTCAGACAGCGTTTACCGGCACCGTCGAGAAGAGGCAGACTGTGATCGCGGCCGCTGCGAGCAGCGCGCAGGCCGTCCAGGCGGAGGGCTCGGAGGCCAAGGGGGTGCGGCCCTCACACGTGGCCGCAGCCAAGTTGGCGGAGGCGGGCACCGTTCGCACCAACACGCAGCCTCAGCCTCGGCCGCTCAAGCTGATGCCCAGAGTGATATCACGGCCCGACCACTCGCCGGACACGCTTCCGCCAATGTATCCGATGCCGTACCCGCAGCCGTCCACCAGCGTCAAAGTGACAGTTACCAGTAGCAACCAAAAAGCAGCGGCCAGTGCTGCGCCCAAAGGTTGGACCATAGTCTAGACATGTTGCTTTCTCGTTGCACATTTGTTTTTGAGTCAGCTCCTGAAATGTGTGCTCCTGGAAGCACTTTTTCCATTGTTTCATTTATATTTTATGTTCCAGGGATGGCGTCACAGCCTGCCCAAGTTCCCCAACCAGCTCAGGGTGCTGCTTGTCAGAGGAAAGTGGCAACCCCAGTCCCCGCCCCACCCAAGGAGGAGCCTGTTAAGATAGAAGATACTAGGCCAATCGATGAATTGTTGGACTTTATTGAAGGTAGCCCAAATCCTGAACCAAAGATTGTAGACTCTAAAAAAGCAGCCAAAAGGGAAAGACAGAAGCAGAAAAAGGTTAGTGTTAACTGAATATTACAAAGTGAATTTGAAGATTTTTTTCATTCTAAGGTGGACCTTATTCATTCATAACTTTTTTTCATTGAAGCTTGAACAGCTGAAGAGAGAAGAAGCAGCCAAGGCTCAGACCCCTGATGTTACCATCACAATGCTCAAGGACTCTGATCCAAGAGGGAAGGGTAAAAAGGGATCCACTAAAAGTGTGTATACTGTACTTATTATGATTTGAAGCCTCATTGAGTCCATTCTTTATTTTATTAACACTTTGTAACAATTTTTAGGAACAGAAGAAGTTGTATCAACTATTCCTAGCGCCACTGCTCAAAGTATACGGGATCGTATCAAAAGTCAAGTTGGTGAAGTTGCCAAAAAGATGGGTAGTTCAGATCAGCCTCAGATGGTTACAATTAGGCGTGTAATGGAACCCAACAGTAGTGAACCCACTGTTACAATTACCCTGAAAGGTGCTACCCCTGACAAAGATAAAGTCTTATTTACCTTAGTGAATGGTCAGAATGAAGTGGGTAAGTTGCTCAGACCCATCAATCATTTTTGGCTCCTACTTAGAAATTTTTTTGAAACAAAGTTTTATAAAATCAATTTTTTTTTTAAATTTTTAACTTTGTGAAGTGTTTTACTAACCCCTTCTCTTTCTTTTTCAGTCTGTCATGATCAAGCCACATCAGCGCCTAAAACTAAAAAGCAAAGAAAGATGGAGAGGCGCCTTCTTCGTCAACAACAGCAGCAGCAAATACAAGTGGAAGAGGGCTTAGACAATGAAGAGGAGGAAGAAGAAGAGGAAGAAATAGATTTGTCCAGTCTCACCAAAACTCAAAGAAAGAAGCTTCGTAGATTGCAGCGGAAGCAGGAAGAAGAACAGTTAGCTGAAGAACAGCGTCTGAGAGAAGAGGAAGAAGAAAGACTGCGTCTAGAAGAAGAAAAACGAAGGCTAGAGGAAGAAGAGAGACTCAGGAATAAGAAATCTAATGCAAAGAAGGGTAAAAAAACAGAACAACCTAAACCCACAAATAAAGTCAGTAAAGGTACTCCTGAGCCCGACTCAGATGACGAGTTTCTCATTCCAGTTCAAATGACCAAAAAAGAACGGAAGAAGGCTCGCAAGGAACAACAGCTATTGGAGGATGAGCTTAGGCGACAGAGACAGAAGGAAGAAGAAGAAAGAGAGAAGCAGAGGCAGCAAGAGTTAAAGGAACAAAAAAAGAAACAGAAAGAACAACAAAAACTAAAATCACAACAGCAGAAGCAAGAGAAGGCCCAGCAACAGCAGAAAGGAAAGGAGAAACAAAAACAGGCACAGCAACAAAAACAGCCTCAGGTACCCAACCAGCAACAACAGCAACAAAAGCAAAAACAAAAGCAAGCATCTGTGAAGCAGCCACAGCAGCAACAACAAAAGGGGTCTTCAAAACAAGGTGGAAGAATCACAACCAGTATCATTCCAAATCCTCTCACTCTTGGATCTTATATGCCACCAGTTGGAAGCTTAGAATGGACCACACAGGCCTTGGCTGCATCAAGACCGAATGTTACCATTCAGCCAGCGGCCGCGGCTGCTTCGCCGTCACTGGGAGGCTTAGAGCAACGTTTTTCCACCACACTTACCCTAAATGGGAAGCCTATTTTGCCTCCACCAAGGCAGACCACTCCGGAGCCATCTCAAGACTTTAGCCTTGAAAACCTTAAACTTCCGCCTGGAATTACCATTACCAAAGTAGATCCTAGCCAAGTTGCTCAAAGGAAACCTCCTATTTCCAAGCCTCAAGTTACCAAAACTGTGGTTCTTAATCCCACTCCAACTACTATTATAGCAGCTCCTCTTTCTGGAAACAGACCTCCTAGCAATTATAATTCTGGTTCAGGCCAGGATCCCAATTCAAATGTGATAGTCGTAGACACCGGCAAACTGAAACAGGACATAGCCAAGAGAGAAGAAGAACCAGAGCAGGTTGTGTCCAGGAAGAAAAAGAATAATAAAAACAAGAAGGCTGCAGAAGCTCAATCAAGACTGCAGGGGCCACCTTCAAACGGTTCCCCCTATCTTTATGGTATGAATTCTGTGAGCATTACACCTGCTGGGCAACCTGCAGCTGCTGCTACTAACCCTCAAGCTGCCATCATTAAAGTGAATGGGAACATGGTGACCATTCGCAACCCAGCCATCCACCCTACACCACAGAGGTATGTTTACAACAGCTTTTGGTTACTTGCTCCTACTTGCAGGCTGCTTATCTTATTTTCTGCTGTGCAGGTATTCTGGGCCAGATGAAGTAGCTGGGCGTAAACCCACCCCTAGTAATCCTCCTCCGAGCTTGCACCAAAATCGTAATAAAGAAAACAACACATTACCACCCCGATTCGCAAATGCCAAGCTTGCTCAACAGGTAAGCACTGTTTTACTTTACATTCGTGCTAACTGTAGCTCTAAACATTTGCTTGCGCTGTGATGAACACGGAAATAACCCATGATGTTCTTTCAGACAAATGGAATGAATGGCTATGTGCCTGAGTGCAGCAATGTTCCTAAACATCGCCCTGCTCCTCAAACATTTGAAGTTCCTAAATCACATAAGCTTCATTATGAGACACCTCCTCGTCACATGGAGGCTCCTCCCCGTCATTATGAAGCTCCTCAATCATCTCATTTAGATGGAGCCTCCCTCCGCTACTTTGATTCCTCTTCTCATCATTTTGATGCTGCTCCTCGTCAGCACTTTGATCACCAAGCACGACACTTGGACCCCGCTCCTCGTGCTTTTGATCACAATGCGCGGCACTTTGAGCCGCCAACTCACAATTTCGAACATCCTGGTCACCTTTTCAATCCGCCACCCCAACAGCCTATGCCATTCAGTATGCATGACAAGCATACCAAACATGTAACACCTCAAAACTATGCTGCTGCCATTGAGGGGAATAAATATAAGCTAAAGAGTGCCTACAACAATGATGACTGGCAACTTTTAGGTAAGTGTAAATGCCAGATAAAATTTACACAGTATGCTAAAAATGTAATGCCAATGTTCCAGTTTTTTTTTTTTTATTTGATTTTGTTGAAACTTGTGAAACTATTTAGATGTGTGTGACTTGCAGTCATCCCCGCCCCTGCTCCTGCCCCTTCCTATCCTGCCCATAGTGGATCTCAAACCTTCCTTAAAAGTACAAGGGTAAATGTAGTGATGCTTCTTATAAAGTGCCTCTTTTTACTTTGGAGTTCAAAATATCAAACCCTCATGAAGTCAACACAAAAATCTCTTGAATTTTAGATTCGAGGCACATATTAGTCCTAATGAAGCCAGTATCTTTTCGTTCCCCAAGATTGTTTTGGAGAGAGACGGAAATTTAAGATATTAGTTATTCATTTTAAAAATCCTTTTGTGTTTTCTTGCTTTGCAGATAACGTGTTTGCACCCAAGGATATAGACTTGGAAGATGGTGATATAGATGATGATGAGCGGGAGCTAGAAGCTTTCAAGCGTTTTTGTCTTCAGTCCGTGCCTCCAAAACGGAAGGAGAAAGTTCATCTCAATATTGAAGACATAGTCTTGAAGAAAAAGTCATCTGTTGTGAGCTGTTCCTGAATGTTTTGTTTTAGATGCCATAAGAATTCATACTTTACTGCCATTTTCAACCCTCTGCAACTCCGATCTGAAAAAAACATTTTTTGTTTTGACATTAGGTTTATTTTCAACAGTATTTTGTAAATAAATCTTTTAGTGAAGCGTGATACCTGATGCTTGTTGCCACATGTACTTTAATTTAGCAATTGTCCATTTCAATGTCTATTGTCATGTCAAACATGCAAACCATCGTGTGTTACAGTAAATATGTTACGGTGAAGGAAGAAGTTGCGCGATTGTCAAAAGTAAAGCTAAAATATGTTTTTTGACGGGCCACACGCACAACGCTCACAGGAAGGATGGCCATGGAGCCTTCTTGCCTCCTTGACTTCCTGGTCGGCCTCCAACCTGTCTACAACACACCAAACACACTGGTGTGAGGACGGTAGCCTATTTTTGCCCCTGAGCCGCTCGCGCCATCTCTGGCCTGTGTAGGTATCATACTCGTCGACAACATTCTTTGGCTGTAACAAATACAACCAATGTGTCAAATAGAGAATATTATCTTTCTCTGTTCTTCTAAAACAACTTGTGTGCATTCATGAATGTATGTGTTTTAAATGTCTTTCTGCTTTAAAATTTGAACCCAGTGTGTCAATGTAGAATTACAATTTATTATGTTTGTGACTTAATTGTTTTCATCCATATTTTATTGCCTTGATTAGGTATTTATCTAATTATTGTCTGGGAGGCTCCAAGTAGTGGGAGTCTTTCAATGACTTTCACTTGATATTCTACAAAATGCTCTTCAGCTATTTATCAACTCTGTGAATGTTTGTAGCTGTTTATGTCCAAGTCTTTTTCTATTAAATTTCATTTGTTACTATATTTGCATGACCATAAGTGCCAATTTCTTTATGTCCCTATGTGAATGTCCCTGCCTCATCTTAACTTGGTAGCTGGTGATAAAGGTCAAAGAACTGACTGTGTTGTAAACTGCTGCAACTTTTCGTTAGTAGATTTTTCCCATCTCTGAAGAAGTTTGAATTATTTCGTGGAATTTTGTGTGATATCTTTGTAAATGATACTGCGAAATATAGTCACGGAAAGCCAACAAAAAGCGTTCCAAATCCAAGTTTTTTTTTTTAAATTAGAGTGACAGCAGCATTTCTTTACCAGCATGATATGTGTTTCATTTTCATTTGTTGTCTAAGCTCATTGCTGCTCACTGATATGTAGTTCAGCTAGGTATTGTTAAATTTATGTGAATTAAATTAAAGAAATACCTACGGTATGGTGTGTGTTTATACGTATTGTACAATTTAAATACTGTTTTGACGTAACTTAATGACTCCCATCAGTTTAAGAAACGTTGTTTGAATTATTTGATTTTTTTTCAATGACCATTGTGAATCATGAAAATTATTGTGTCATATGACAGGTAGTCTCCCTTGTGAAGTTTTGTAAAAGAAGCATTTGCGCTTTCTCTCTCTCTCTGTCTTGTGTATTTAGTTAATTTAAAACTTGTAAATATTGAACTTGAGGGATGTACGTTGACTGTGGTGTTGTAAATTACTGCTAGATTGTAGCTAAAATGAATGAATTAATTGAAGAAAACATAGTTTCACAGCATTTATTTCAATTTCCCAGGCCTCTCTCTGAGAAAACAATCCTTTGTAGACTACATGGTGTTGAACATAACATTGAACATGGTACTTTAACTAACAATACAAGTGGAGATATGGCTTATACCTATAAATTCCGCTCGGAGTCAAACTACACTACACTATTTTATTTGTTGAAACAAACAGTCACTTCCCTAACTTCCCTGCCTGCCCCTGTCCATGGGCGCTGACTCTGAGAGGGATCGTAACTGAGCGTCCGAGCTGAGCCGAGCCGTGCCGAGCCGCTTCACCCTCCCTCCCCTTTCTTCTTGGCAGCCCAGCGCATTCTCCGCGGCCCTCCCGGCCGCCCCGCTCTCCGTCGCTCCCATTGATAGGGTGCCGCGCGCGAGGGAGAGGGAGACGACAGCGCAGGTTTGTTCCCAACGCGGCCCCGGCAACGGAACGGGGAACGGAGCGGAGCGAGCGGAGCTGCTCTCGGCTCGGCTCAGCCCGGCTCGGCACCGCTGTCGGCTTTTGCTTTTGCTTTGCGTGCCCAGTTGCCGCCAGTTGGCGTCGCGAGTAGGACGCGTGTTCATGACGATCCGTTGGCCGAGGGAGCGTGTGTGAAACCCAGGGGCAGGGGCAAGGGTGTAAGAGGACTTTTCGAGTTGATTTACCCTCTTAGCGTCGTAGCAGTCTCTCGTAGAACTAGTGCCATGCATCAGTAGACGGACCTCTTGTAGTCCTGGTTTTCGTTTGCCGATTCAGCTTCCTTTTTTCCACATTGTTGGCTGGAGCCCCGCTCCGTTCACGGCCGTGTATATGTGTTGTTTATGTGCTTGCCTGGTCTCGCAGAAGTTGCGCTGGCTGTGTTGTGTGTTGACGGTGGCCATTGTGCTGTGTCTGGCGGCCCTGTCACTGTTCGCCGCGTGCAGCCTGGGGCTGCTCAAGCCCCAAACTAAGTGGTGCTGCGCGTTCACCACCAAGGATGTAACTTGTCTCGGCGACCCGCTGTACACCTGGCAGGGCGACTCGGACTCGGACTCCGCAGTCGCGCGGCTGGGGCACTTCTAGAACGCTGAAGCACGCTGAAGCAGGACAGGTAACCCAGTTCAAGCCGTCCGCGGCCAGGCGAGACGAGACCGACCTCAAGCGAGCTGCAAGAGCGGAGGAGTGACTCAGTGACTCGACTCAATGGGGTGCCGGCCTCTCCGCCACTCCGGCCAGTGAGCCCGTAGTCCTGCATGATGGTGCATGACACACTGCTTCACTTGCACCGCCGCATGTTCTCGAACTGCGTCGTCTGCTAGACGAACCAGGGGCAGCCTGGGCGGGGTGTCTCGGAAAAAAGGTTGGGGGGGGGGCTGAGGTTGTTGGGGCAGCAATACCCCCCCTTCCCCTCGCGCGCCTCGCGGGTGATCCTGTTTCGCGCGGCGTTGCACGCCAGCAGCAGCCCGAGGCTGCCCGTGGCTCGAGGGTGCCTGAGGGTTATCGAGCATCAGCTGATAATCCACCATCATCCCGCTTTCCAAAAAACAAAGTGTGGCTGTCTGGCCAACGGGGGGCGCCAAGCGCCCAGGGCTAAGGGCCAGTAGTTCGGCAGTCTAGCAGGCGCGCGCGGTCGGTCCTGTCAAAACGAAACGTCCGTTGAGAGTCTTCTTCGCGTGCATCAATCTCTCTTGTCTGATTGGTTTTGTGGGCTTTGTTGGTGCAGGGCAGTGGTGCAGCCGTCATGGGCACTGGTGACGCCTGGTGACGCAGTGACCGCGACGTCTTGACCCTCACCCTCACCACCGTGCCATGCCTGGCTTGGTCATCTTCCGGCGGCGATGGAGCGTCGGCAGCGACGACCTGGTGGTCCCCGCGGCCATCCTGTGCGTCGTGCACCTGGCATGGTGAGTACTTCCTCGGCAGGCTGTCGTCGTGCTTCCGGACGAGGTGACGCCCTGGTGCCGCCCCAGCGGCGTATTAGGCACCGGGTCAGAGGGTCAGCTGACCCCCCAGTTTTTGGAGCTGCCCCGGGCTAATCCCCTGCGAGGTAGGCAACATGCAATACACCGACGCCCCAACTTTTTTGACGTTCATACGCGCCTGTGCCGCCCCTGCCTGGGCACTTCCCCGGAGAGGGGCGTGTTCGCTCGACCGCCGAGCCGTTTCCTATTTTGAGCTTAAATTGACATCGGTTCTCAAGAGTGGGTACCTAAAGAGGAGAAAAATTGGGTCCAGGTTGTATCGGATGGTATGGCTCAGCTGGGATTTGTGGGTCTTGGAGGGCTTATTGACTGGGACTCGTGTGCACGTCGAGAACGCATTGCTTCTGCCGGAGCGTGGGGGCGGCCGCGCGGCCACAGCGCGGCCGGGTCACGACGCCTTGCTCGCTGACTCGGCGTCGGGGCGTCTCGTCTCGTCTCGTTCCGAGAGGCGATAACGCCGGCTGCCTCGCGTGTGTGATTCATCGTGATTGGAGCCTAACGATGCTGTGTCGGCAACATTGCGAGAAGCGGTACCATGTGCGACGCCCATGCCCCGGCGGCTCCGGGACTTATCGCTCGGAACAGGCGGAATGGTGTCCTGCTACCCGCTGCCCTGTACCACCCCGCCCCCGCCCGCACTGCTCCCGAAGTCCGCCTCGCTAGCGCCCCATGGGCAGTAAGCCGTAGCTTCAGCCGCACGTTCGTACAGTGCGGCAGCGTGCACCCTGCCGCTCCCTCCCCCTGGAGACTTCTGGAGACTGGGGTCTGCCGCGGCCTGCCCGAGGCCGGCCGATCTGCAACCGTAAGTTACGATGCCAGAATTTGGTAGCGAATGATGGTCGATTCGAATCTGATGGCTGCTATCTTGGGCCGCGAGGCCGCCGCCGTCGGGCCTCCAGGGACCTCTCCGCTCCGCTCCCGGCCGAGGCGGGCCGAGGGGAGTGGGCTTTTGAGGCTTTCGAGGAGCACTCCGGGATGCAGGCAATCCAACCCCGACCCGCGCCACCGCGTCAGCTGTGCCGCAACGCGGAGTTTACGCCCACGGGCCGCGGAGCAGGGCCAGGCAGGGCCAGGCAGGGCCAGGCAGGGCCAGGCAGGGCGCCGCCGGGGCCTTCTATCGGCGCGGTAGGCGCGGCAAGGTGCGGCAGGCCGTGGTGCCGGTGGGGCAGGTGCACCTGCTGCAGAGCGTCGTCCGGCGCTGCCGCGACGCTCGCCGTTTCGTCCGTATGACCGTCCTCGCCGGCTCGGTGCCGCGGCGCCGCGGTGCTTCGGCGGGAACGGCCGTCTGGCTGGTCGTCTTGGAGGCCGTCTCGCTGGCCGTCCCGGCGGCCATCACACTGCGTCACTGGCCCTCTGGAGCGCGACGGCCTCGACGACGTGGCGAGCGCCTCGGTCGTGCGCCTTATCAGGCCGGGCCGTGACGGGGCGGCCCACGGCGGCCCAGGGCCCAGGGCCCAGGACGACCACTACACTGGCAAGATAGCGAGAGGAGGAAAAGGAAGGGCCAGGCCGGCCGCGCGACGCTCGCGGTGGAAATTGATCTGTCTTCCGGGGGCGCCTCGAGGGAGGTGCGGAGCCGGAGTCGAGTGATTTCCGAGTCAGGATGGCGGCCGGCCTGCCTGCAGTTGACGCTGCCCGCTACCGCAGCACTCTCCAACAGCCCGTTCTATTGACAGTGGACGCGGCTACGCGGTGACGCGGTCAGACACGCGCGGCCGAGGGAAGTCTGTCGTGGCCCGCATGCTGTGTGGACAGAACACTGTTGCCGGCGCGGCTAGCGGCGAGGCGTGGCACAGCAGGCCGCGAGGTTCATCTCGTCTGATGACACGTCGATTTCCTGCGCGAAACAGGTTCGCGAACGGGCGGGGCACCTCCAGCGCCTCCTGGCCGGTGGGAGGCACTCGGACGCGCGCCCCGCCGTATCCACGCACGCGCCACACCGGAAGGTCGCTCAAGTGCCCTGGTCAAGTACGACGCCTGCCGGGCTGCCGGGGCGAGTTGCTCGTCAAGCCCCCCGTGCTGCCGATGGCGCCGGCCAGGCACGTCGAAAGTCTGAAAGGCTCTTCGACAATCGGAGAGCGAGGGGGCGGTTAATTTAGAATGTGAGCGCGTTGAAGCCTCGCCAGGAATGCGGGAAGGGGGGTCGCTGTAGTCGCTCTCTGCACAATGCGAGGCGAAGCACCAAGCAGTGCCGACTAGACCGGCCGAGGCGAGGCCCCGGCCCAGGCAGAGCCCTCGACCGGTATTCGCGCCGTCTGGCCAGGTCTGGCCCTCTGGTCCGCGGCCCTGATTGGCTGCAGCTTCCAGCTTCCGCCGGAAACAAACCGCGCCCCATTTCCGGTCGCTTCTCTGCCGGACGCGTGAGGTGCGCGCCTTTTTTTGGTTTTTGAAATCCATTTCCACCCCGATTGGATTTGGCGCCCCGCTCCACCTCCACGGGACCGCGGGGTCGTCGACGTCTGCCGGTTCTCCGCGCGGTGGCCGGCCGAACCGGATCCGATGCCCCTCCCTTCCCCTTCCCAGCAGAGGGCCGATTCCGAACAGCTTTTCGTCCTCGTCTGCCTCGCTGTCTGTGCGAGAGAGGCAGAACGGGCACGCCGATATGCGGAATCAGCCGCCTGCCCCCGCGGGGCCGCCACCGCCACCGCGACCTCGTGACGGCCTGACGGCCCAGTGAGTGACTGACTGACGCATTGAAAGCCGGGCAGGATCAGTAGCCTGTCAGGATGACGGGGGGCGGGGGGCTCGGACCGAGTTTCGGGCCGAGGCTCGGACGCGGGGCGGATTGGTGCGCTCGGACGGCTTGGAAGGGCCGCCCGGGGCGACGCCGGCCACGCCGGCAACGCGCACTCCTCCGCCATGAATGAAAATAGCCGGTCGGCTGGCAAACACTCGGCCGCCGTGCACGCCATGCCGCGCTGGTTAGAGTTCCTCCACACTCCGTGTGGTTATTATCACTGAGTGGTCTGGTGGCTGGGTCGCCGTCCTGGACCGCCTCGCCGGCGACGTGCCGGACGGCGGGGGCGATGCGGCGGCGAGGCGCTGGTCTGCTGGCCTGCTCCGCGGGGTTGTTGTGGCGTTCCAGCTCCAGGACGTGCCAGCCGTGCCGATGGGGACGCCGCAATCGCATTCCGAGGCGCCTGTCCGGGTCTGGCCGCGCCTGGCCGCCTTGGCGTCGTCGGCGTTGTTCGGTTTGGCAGGGCCATGCGGCAGGGCCATGGCAGGGCCGCCGCCTCGCCGGTCTAATATTTGTCGCCGGCATGGCGTTGTGTGCATGACGTGCTAAGGGTCTGTGACCTACGGTCCTTAACCGAAGGGTGGCTGGCGCGGAGTGCGGTGAGGCGAGGTGACCGCTTCCTTGCCGCGCCCCGCCCTCCCCTCCCCCTCCCCTTATCGATTGGGTGGCGCCGCGCCCTCCCGCCCCGCCCCGCCCCGCCGAGTCCTTGCCAGGCATTGCCAGGCATTGCCTCGCCGGGCTTGCCGCCTGCCTCGCTTGCAACCCCCTTGGCTGGCGTTGCCCCGGCATTGCCATTCCAGCCGGGCATCGGGCTGTCGTCTGCTGGCTGCCGAAATGACCGGCATTAATCCAATCTGCCGTGGCCTGGCTGCCCTGCCGTGGCTGCCCCAGCCAGACTGGCCGACCGGCGTGTCTGCGGCCGTCCGCTCCACTGGTGCGCCGGCCGGGTTAGTTTGGACTGGGTGGGCTGGCAGGCATCCCTGGGCCTGAGGCGTGGCGCCTACACCGCCGCACCGGAACTGCCGGGGCTGACGGGCTCCGGCAGTTCCGGTCTCGACGTGGACGGTCCGTCCATCCACCCCCGCAGGCCCCACTGCCCCGACGTGTGGCCGCCGCCGACGCTGCTGCTGGCACTGCTGGCCCGCCTGATTAAAAGGCTAATCGCGTGGCTCGGGTCGGGTCGTTGGGTCGGGTCGGTCCGACATGGCGCCGTCTCGTCCTCTCCTCCGTGCCGTGCCCTGCCGCGCCGTGCCCTGGCGGCAAGAGGAGCTGCGCTTTAACTTTGAGGGCGACGAGTGTCAGGGTGTGCGAGGGCCGCCCTGGCCGAGGGCGGCCGAGGGCTGCCCCATGGACGACGACCCGACCCGACTCTACCCCCGCGGCGTGGCGGCGTCGCGGCGTGGACCACTAGACTCCCCCCGCTGGAGCCCCCCGGCGGCGCGCTGGGCCCGGCTGGGCCGCGTGGGGTGGGGGGAGCGGTCTATTCGCTAGTCTTTTCGGGGGTCCCGGGCAGGACCGGCAGCCTCCCTGTGACCTTTGCCCCCCGACTCCCCAACCCCACCGCGCTGCTCCGCGGGGAGGGTGCATGTCGTTGCCGCAGGGGCGCCCCGCCCCCGCCTCTGCTAATTCGGACCACTCGCTGGCGTGTCGGTGTCGAAGTGCCACCTGCGTTCGAATTGGAGTTCCAGTGGCGTGGCGCCGTGGGCGGGGCCCCGAAATAGGGCGCGTGGGCGAGGCGGCGGGGCGGCGTCGGGGGCGGCGCGGCCGGACACCGCGGGGCGCGGGGCTCTTTGTCCCCCCTCCCCCTTTTGCCCGCCGCACGATTCATCACCGTTCGAACAACGTGTGCGCGAAATGGTGTTCCGCTCGCTTTGGCTGACGCAGCGCGGCAGCGCGCGGCAACGGTCGCCCGATGTGACAGCGCGGCCCTGCGGCTGCGTAATTTGTCATGCCGCGCTCTTAATTATTTAGCCGGACGGCACTGGGGCCTGACCCCGTTTCCGCGCCCTGCCCTGCGCGGCCTGCGCCCCCACCTGTCGTGGCGCGCGGCATGCCGTGCCTGCGGCGCCCTGCATCTTGCATGCGCGCACGCACGCTTCCCCGCCGCTGCCGCCGGCCCGGCCGGTACTCGAACCCGCTGCCTTGGGGTTGCCGGCGACAGCTGGACTGACGGACCGGGCTGGGG